CTACATGGTGGCTAAAACTCTACTGAGAGGCTGGGCATATAATCCTCCCATTATATTGCCAATAGCAGTATACGTGCAAACCAAAAAACTAAACTAAGTCACAGGGTTTACTTAGCCATAACAATACTGTTGTGCAGATAATGAGATGAATCCTTCCCATGAGAAAATCCTAACATCAGCGCCAGGTGGCAGTTTCCATTCTGCAAAGATGGGGATTCTTTTGCCAAAAAATTATCTACTTTCAGTTTTTTGTCTTAATTTAAATTAGCTAAGCTAGACCAATTGTGTTACCAGTTAGCACTCCTGGCGATGGCCACTTCCTTAAAATTTCACAGACTGTCCATTCTGCATTTTGTGGAGTTTCTGTTCTTACTGAGGTTAACATTTCAGGTATCTGAGAAACAAAACCCTAGCCCCTAATTTATTTATATATATAGTAAATTATTATTATTATTATTATTATTATTATTATTATTATTATTATTATTTACATGTGTGTGTTATTAATTGAATTGTTTCTATTATTGCAATGCTTTTCTCTTTGCTTTTATTATCGTTCATTGCCTTTGCACAATTTTGACTGAGAGATGAAATACACACTCCTTAAATAAATGCGTCATAAATTTGTTAGCATTTCAAATGCTAGAAGACATTGTTCTAAAGTAGTGAAAGGGCTTTGCAAGCCTCATCTGCAGCAATGAGGACTAAAAGCTTCATGAGGGCTTTCTTTTAATCTCTATGTATGGATCTCTAATGTCCGTTTGGTGTCACGGTGAAGGCACCAAGCTGGAAACCGGGAGACCCTGAGTTCTAGGCACGAAGCCACCTGGGTGACCTTGAGCCGGTCACTCTCTTCAGACCTGGGAAGAAGAAGGCCAGGGCAAAGCGCGTCCAAGAAAATGGCAGGGACATATCCGTGCAGCTGCCAGAAGTCCACATTGACTCGAAGGCCTAAAAGAAAGTCCAGTAACCCAAACCCAAGCGTAAATTGTTTACCTGCCTTTTCAGTTTAAAACAAATTCCAGAGAAGCTTATAATCGAAAGATCAGTTTGAAAACAGCAAGTTCGAAAACAGCACTTGGCAGAGTCACATCACCAGAATTTAAGGCTGAAGAGGCAAGTAGCAAGACCAAGCTTGCAGTTGGTGCCTAAATTCAGTTCGGGGCAAGCCAGCGAGGCGGGCTGTAGAGGGGTGGTTTTCACATTTGGAAAACGTCAACTCCCAGAATCCCACACATCTTAAAGTTGCCAAGTTTGAAAAACACTGCCCTAGAGGTCTAGAGAGAGAGAGCGCGGAGAGGAAAAAGCATTTGCCAGGGGACAAGGCCAGACCGGGGTCTCCTGTCCCCCGTCTCAGTCACTGCAAAGTATCCCTTCTCCAGCTGAGGAGAGCAGGATGGGCTGCTGAGACCGAGAGGCAGCAGTGGAGCGCAGCACCGGCAGTGGCTGCGAGAGCGGTGCTGAGAGCCAGCATCGCTCAGGGCAGAAATGCCTGTTCTGTCAACGACCAGCAGTCGCTTAGCTCCCGGGCTGAGAAAGTGTCCATCAGACCTTTCTCAGAATGTCCATCAAGCCTCCACAGGGATTAGAAGAGTCTTTGCTTCTCCTTGACAGAGGGCAATCAGCTGCTTACGGGGGCTTTGTTCTGGTATGCAGTGAGGATCTTATTCAGCCATGTTGGGTAGCATCAGCTGAGTTTCAGCAGGGGAGCCTGGCAGCTTCTTCCTCCTTTCCTCCCTCCTTCACGCCAGCTTCTGTTGGGGCTCGTGCTGAGGGGGAGCAGCATGGAGAAGCCAGGGGCCCCTCTGCTTATAGACCCCGAGCTGGCTGTCACTGCCCTTGCCTCTGCTCTGTTATGGTCCTGCTTCTTGTTTGCTGAGTTTCTGGCCATAGACTCAGGTCTTAAGATTGGGCCCTAACCCTAACCCTATTGGTGGAGCCAGTTCTTCAGCTGTCCAGATGCCAAGGCCGATGGGGGCTTTAGGGGTGTGCAGTAGCATTCTGAATTGTCCTGAGAAAGAAACCAGGATGAGACCAAGTTTAGTTTCTCCCAAACACTGGTCAGTACAAGACCTAGCAGCTGCATTCTCACAACATGTTTTTGAGTGATTATTTGTGCAAACCCACTCCCCTTTGGCTAGCTTACCATGCAGGACACTGTGCCAACCCAGGAACACAGGTATCTTCCCAGTTCAGGGTTGTGCAATTCTAACCTGTTTCCCCAAATGAAATTCAGAAGAATGTAGGCTGCTGCTACTGATAATCATGTATTATTCATGTCTTTTTTCCCCAAAGACTACTCAGTTTGCCTTGGAAATTAGGCTTAAGGGGTTGTGTGCTGGTGTCAGCAGTACTGCACCTAGATTCTATTTTATTTTAGTTTTTAATTTATGGATTTATAGAGCCACCCAATTCAACCCTAGGTTGTGTTTAACAGAAGCAAACAATAAACAAATACCATTAAAAAGGAACAACCCAGTATAAAATGTTTGAGTCTGTGGTTGGGTGAGTCCTACAAGTCTTGTAAACAAATACATTTACTAGACTCTAGTGCATAATCCATTTTTGATACACATGCCAGGCTGTTTTTGTCCCAAACTGATGTTTGAACTAGGAGGGTCACAGGCTGAGATTCAAGGACACGGCCCTTCATAAGCTCATTTTATTCCAGAATCTAGAAAAGGTATGAATAACAAATCAAACGAGCTACAGTACTGCAAGCTGTTTAAGACACAAGCCACAGAAGGCCCATCTCTTCCTCAGACAGGTGAGAGCCACTCAATTCTTGGTAGGTAGATCTTTTGACACCTGAGCATTGTGCTGTAGTAACAGGTCAGTGTGTGCTCAAGCCGTTTGCTTCTGATTGTGTCAGACCTACCCTTTGTAGCTTGAGAAAGGACTTGGCATTTGGTCTCTTCTTCACATGCTTTTATTTTCGCCAATCTTTGCATAATCTGAAAGCAAAGGCATAGTTTTTTATCCTCTTTTATTCCATGCTTCATTTGGGATTGCCACATATCCATGACAGTACATGTAATGTTACTTTCTTTAATTTCAGGCTGGTTGTTCCTAATAAAGGCTATTCCTCATTAGATCAAAGTCCTGATGAAAAGCCGTTGGTGGCGCTGGACACAGACAGGTATATATGGAATAACACAATTAACATGTTAAATTATATTATTTGTTGCCATACAGTGAAATGGGGTTGCTCTATGCAGAGTTTTCTGGGAATCTTTTCTTGGAGAAACCCATGGCAGAGTTTCTCCAGCTTTTGGTTTGTAACACGGAGATGACCACTCACCTTGCCAGTTAGTGAGGCTGAAAGTTCATGACCACAACATACTTGTTTTGTTGAAGCTGCCCCTGTAATAGCTTTCATTTTCTAAAAGTTCTTCCAGCTCACTATTATGAGTACGTACCCATAATACATAACAATGCCATTGTTCTCCAGTCTGGTGTCTTCTAGATGTGCCTGGACTGCTATGTTGGCTGGGAAATTCAGTGAGTTTACTCCAAGCTATTTGCACTCCCTGCTACAAGCCACAAGCTCTGATAGCATTTAAAATGGCTGAGAAGACGTGAGTCAAAGCCAGTGGCTATTAACCCCAGTGTCCTAGTAAGATGTCTCAGTTCACCTGCTTATGCTTTTGATAAAATGCCAGTGTTAGGTACAAGAAGAAAAAGCTGGCCCTCACTTTTCTGGGTTGTCTACTTCCTGGAGATACAACAGTTATGTTCATATAGACCCCAAATGGACCCATCTTGGTGGGTCCCATCAGGGCTGCTCCCTCATTCGGTCTGTGAAAATGAACGGGAATCTGCTACCTAACATGCTGCTTTGCTTGCTGGAGGTCCCTTTCCCCATTGCGTGTTGTCTTGCTTTGCAGTGACGATGACTTTGACATGTCCAGATACTCCTCCTCGGGGTATTCTTCAGCCGAGGTGAGTTCCATTCCATCTCTTTTTGTCTCAACAAGGGTAAGCTTGTCTTTCTGTTTGGCAAAGGATGGGAACCCAAAACAATGGACTGGATTTTTAAAGGCAATGTACCTTGGCAGTAGTTTTCCTTGGCTGAAACTTCTGGATTTACTGATATTTCTGCAATTTGGATTCAAATAATGCTCTAGGGAAGACCTGATGTAATTTTCATCACAGAAGTGGGAAGAGATAAGAGTTGGCCAGAGCCGTGATTAGATCCCCCCTGGGGGATCTTCAGGGCATCAGACATTGCAGATACATTTGTCCTTCTCAGTCATTGAAAATGTCCTGGAATAATGAGTATTGAGGCAATCAAAATACATGTGAACTGGTCTTTGGCAACCACACATATTTTTTCAATAACAGTTTGGGAAGAACCCATAACTTAGAGGTAGATCATAGCTTAGAAGTAGTAGTGTGTGGAAGCTGCAGATTCAGACTTGATCTTGTTAGCATGGCTGGAAAAGGAGTCTCAGCCTCTGGTAACTCTTACAGGGTCCTGGCCAAAAGCTGTTCTTTTCAGGACATCAGGCCAAAATTGAGAGCATCATAATGCCACAATATGGCTGCTATTACTAAGAGAACCGTTCTCTAATGTCTGTGTCTACAATTCTGGACCAGATGCCTCTCAGGGCAGAACAGTTTTGGACTGTTGGTGGGTTGACATGTTGGCTCTTTGTCTGCAGCAGATCAACCAGGACTTGAACATCCAACTTCTCAAGGACGGGTATCGGTTGGACGAGATCCCAGATGACGAGGACCTCGATCTAATTCCACCGAAGTCCGTCAACCCCACTTGCATGTGCTGTCAAGCCACCTCTTCCACTGCCTGCCACATCCAGTAACGGAGAAGCCTGGCAACACGAGGGTGACCAGTGCTTTCCATTATAACTGTAAAACTTAACAGCCATTGCTTCCTCCTATGGTAGGACGTGCACCTCTTTGTGTTCATAGAGTCAGGAGAAACCAAAAAAAAAAAAAGTCATTTTAAGATCCTCTTCTCTTTTTTATTTTAAAACTACAGTAAATGAGCTGTGAGATGCTTCATGCAGACCCTTGGTCAGAAAAGTCCATTGATTTCTTTGGAGTTGGGGACTGGTTTCAAGATCCATGTATAGGATTCAGGGGAGGGAGGGACTGGCTGAGAATGCTGTAGGGTGTCTTTATCTGGCAGATTTTGCTCCAGGTGCAGGAGTCTGAATGGAGAGGAAAGATAATCTTTTGGATATTATTGGAATTTTATTTTGTGAGCGGGAGGAGCTGAATAACAGGGAGAAGATGAGACCAAGAATGAAATACAGGATTTTTTGCTAAAGATGAATTGGCCAAGACAAATTCATACCAACCTTTTGTTACAGGGGACCTGAAGTGAAAAAGTAGTGGCAGTTAAAACATACTTCCTGAAGCATGAAAAAAAATATAGCTTAGAACCAGAGTCCACCTCATCCCAAAGTTCTGTGGTCTTGTCTACTCTTTGAAAGCAAACCATGACATGGTCTGCCAACGCTGAGGAGCAGCGTTTGTCACAGTGGAAGTGTTGGTTTCTTAAACCTTGAACAGCAAAAGAGAAGTTCTGCATTTGGCCAAGGCCTTCTCCTGCATTTGCAAATTAACTGCTCCTTTAGCTCCCGAGAGCCAAGGGTGAAGCTGCCGCCCTGAGCGGATCCTGCCTTGCGTAGCGCTCACTGGGTGCAAGAGCAGGACTGTGGCTGCGTCCAGAGTCAGGAATGCGACACCCGTTTGTCCCAAGACCCAGGTGGCCAGGCCCAGCACCCGCCTCCCTGCTGGCTGGAAGTCAGCCTTCTGGGGCCAGAAAAGGAAGGGTGGGCCTGCCGCTGCATAAACGGGACCCTTTGGCACAATACCTCTCCTGTTGTCTGATGCCAATTAGCGTGCTACTGTCATTTACAGACTGGTGCCCCGTTCAGTCATCACCATTGCTTGTAAATATGGTGCTTCCGCAGCATTTGTAAAAACTACAGGCCATCAGTAGTAAAAGAGCTAGAAAAGAAAAAAATAACCAGAGCTGATTATTATTCTGCTTTGCTGAACTCAGACCGTGCCAAGCTTTGCAACATAACAGGCAAATATTTAAATATATTAGACACAAAGACAGTTTGACAGAGCAGTTGTCCCTATCAAGGCCAGGTTTCCTGCCCACCTTGAAGGACTCTTGTTCCAAGTCGGGCTTATGGTTTGTCCCCTGTCTCATGAACTGTCCCCGATGAGCACAAGGTTGGGTTGCTGTCTCCTCCTGATTGAGTATTATGTACATGGATACTACATATCCCCATCGTGGTTAGCAGGTCCACCTTGTCAGTGGATAAAATGATCCTGGGTTTTGTGAAGCAGTCTTGGATGAGGGTTTCTTTCATGGTCCTCTTGGGGAGGAGTGAAGATGCAAGAGAAAGCAAGGTGTTCCGGAAATGAGAAACAGGAGGAACATGGCAGCTGTCTTCTATTGAGCTGGTATTTGAGGTTAAGGACCAGCACGGAACAGCTACATGGGATGAGTAGAACCGTAGCAAAAGTTGACCCTTTAATTGAATGAACTCTGACCCCCAAGTAAAATTACCTTATTAGGAATGAATCTAGGCCTGAGAAGGTTCACCTAAAAAAAGACATCTTTAATCCCTTTTAAAAGCTTCTACCTAGAGATTAACTCAATCCTATTTGATTTTCACACATTGTTCATTCAAACTGAAAACAGTAATTTTTTTAAAAACGTTTGCACTGCTTAATGGGATTACGGTCCCCTACCTTTGTGTTTCTAGCCAAATGCTTTGTATTTTTCCTCCACCAGACTTTTGGATTGCAAAAGGACTGTGCTTTGAATTTAACCTTGTTCATATTTGTGCACTGAAGAGATCAGATTGGTAAATATCATGGCCCACCCCCCTTCTTTTGACTGGTGAGTGGTTAAAATGGGCATGTGCTATCCCAAAACACTGGTGAAAAGATAAATTTCTTCTTTCAACCTTCACAAAGGTCCCTGAGGAGGATACTACTTTAGTAAGGTCAGTGCAGTAGCATAAAATGAAAAAAAAAAAAAAAACCTTTTTGGCTTCTCCTTGCTTTTACACTTTGTGTCTCCATGTTTTTTGAGAAAGAGATATATAAGAGGAGGCGAATGAGCAACGCATTGTTGCCATCAGGGTTAGCAGAAGCCCGTGTGGCTGTAGAGATGCTTCCCATGTTACACTGCCATTGCTTGGGGTTATTTCACACATGGTAGAAGCAAACCTGGATTTTGCCCCAGGGTCCAGGCATGGCTCCTAATAAGAGTCTTTGTAGGAGGCACGTGTTTGCAAGCATCTGTGGCTCCCGCTTCCTCTTAGATGTGCACTTGAAGCCTCTTAAGGGCTTGCAATGTGTCAAGTTGTTTTCTGGAGAGTTTGGCACTTCCTTAAGGAGTTTGGAGTGTGACAGGCAGGTCATCGTAGAGAATGGTCCCGAAGGCATTGCCGCCGCCCCTCCCTTAGAGACCACCACCATCCCCCTGTATATTCTGGGCCTTTAGCTTGTAGCACCCAGAGAAAAGAAGGTCAGGCCCACAAGCTGTAGGGATGTGCTTAGTGGCTCTGCATCTTTATGCTGCTGCTGGCCTTGGAAAGAACGAAAGGGAGATGAGTGGAGAGACTTGGAAGATTTGAGCTGCTTAGAGAAAAACTGGACTAACAAGAACAAGCCACCCAGAGTTGCTTTGGGTGAGATGGGCAGCTATATAAGTGTGAAATATAAATAAATATAAATAAAAATAAATAAACGTGTAACTCCAGACAGCTCTAGAAAGTAGCACTTTCCCAGGAGATTATACCCACATGAGCCACATGGTCTTTGGAGAGGACAGCTGTCTGTCTACAGGTATATTGGTCTCCCGGCTCTTCTAGGTTGGCTTGGTAGCATTGCAGCATCGCACGGTGTGAAGGCAGGCCCCACTTGCCCTCGTGTCCCATAAAGTCCAGCTTGTTTCAGTACTGCAGCTGTATGTTTAATCTGCATGCCCTCATTAATTGCTCAGTCTTAATTAATGGCAAACTTTTGCTGTCATTTGATAGCCAACATGGATCACTGGCGTTATCTTTCTAGTGTTGTTGGGGTAAGAACTGGGATGTCTGATAGCTGTCAGGTCACTCTCCCTTCCCCTGGTCAGTTCTTTCACTGGTCAGGTGTGGCTGAAGGGAGGCAGATACCTGCTGGTTCTCCTCCGGGTCTCTCGTGTCTCCCTACACTGCGAGGTTCCAGCCTTTGCAGCTAGTAAGACGTGCTGGGACTTCCTTGTGCGTGGTGCGGAGGGACTGCCTTTTGCAGGCAAGTAGAGCTGTGTAGCATCCTTGTAGGCTCTTGTTGCTGCTCCGTCTCTCTGCTTTCTGGAGCCTTTGCAGTGACAAGGTCTGGTCTAGTCAACCTTGAAGACAGTAAAAGCAAATGAGAGCAGGGTCTCTCTGCAAAGCCCAGGCTATGCTGGAAGTGGAGCCCTGCCTCCTCCTTTCCCAAAGAATCTTCTATCACCTTGGCCGCGGTGGCTCTTCAGCATCTTGGTGCCCCTTCTAACCTCAGCCTACCTGGGAGGCTAATACCAGAGAACAGGAGAAATTGAAGACATGAGTGTGAGAGGAGGAGGTGGCGGCGGCAGCGGCAGCTTCCATCAGCTGTTTTGCAGAAAGTAGGTGGCAAAGGACAAGGTGGCTTCCTAGATCCTGTGAGGTGAAGAACACACTGAGGATGGAATCATACAGGCTGAACCTGGGTGATGTTTTCTGGCATCCTCTCCTCTTAATCTAACCTTGAAGAAAGCCAGAGTTTCCATTTATAGCCAGAAAACACTTGGGGGAAAGGTGATGGTGACATCCCTTCCATCTAAGAGCCATGAAACTGCTACGGTTCAAAGGAGGAGGAATGAGCAACAGACAGTAATTTTATGCTATTGATTTCTGTTTAACAGCTCATCTCAGGTAGAACAGCAGCCAAGCCTCCCATCATAACATGGATTTAGCCGCAGCAAGTTGCTGGGCCACACCGTGAGTTGTGCTGCTGCCCATCAGCTGGTAGGGAAGGCAGGCCCAGAGCCTGGTGCTCTGGGGTGCACAGGGAGGAATTGCCCCTGGATAATGAGGATGTGAGAAATGGCCAGGGAAACTCATTAGCTGGGCTTGAGGTAGCCATTCTGGAGAGTTTCTTCACATTACATTTCCTCCCCATTTCCCCCCCCCCTTCTTAGTGCCCAGCAATATTTTGGGATTCAAGCTTCCTTGGCTGCTTCTTAAGCTCCCCACCCCAGTTGTGCATAGTGGTTAATGAAGAATGAAAGCTCGCCTTGCTGCATGTTAATTTTTGGATTTGGTACTGTCCTATTCAGGCTTCCTGTCCTTTGCTTTCCCCATTCCCCTTCTATTCACATGTTCCTTTCATTTAAGGCTCAGGACTTAGTAAAGGCTAGCATTTTTTGCCCACAGAGCCTTTCAAACAGGACAGGACAGGAAAACCATGTCCAGGCTGCTCGAGAGGGTCCCCCAAACGATCTGGTGTTTGCCTCTGATCGAAGATTCCCAAATCCTTCCTACAGGGAGCTGCAGATTACAGCACTTTTGAAAAACACCATCCCACCATCTTAAGACGCTTAAGACTTCCCACCCTTCTTGCAAACAGCTCATGGTGGCTTAAGCAGGTTAGATTCCTCCCTTCTGGATTCAGTCACTCTCCTGATTTGCGAGACTTGGGAGTTGTGAGGGGTTTTTTTTAATCAAGCCACTTTTCAACACAAGTGGAAGGAAAATGGTTGCTCCAGGGACTGTGAATACAAAATGACCTTTTCTTCTTCCTGTCCTTGATCTGTTCTTTCTTCTGTCACCATGAGTCACTTCCTACGTTTTCTGCCTGCAATGTTTCCAAGAGCATCTTTCTGGAGAGACGGGGCTGGAGTTGTTCAACCTGCTTTGTGATGGAAGAAGTCAGCTGACCTCAAGCGAGATGAACACTGTTGTACTGCTCATTAAAATTCATGCAGGAGCCTAGGGGACCTTGGAGAAAAACCTTGGGACCCTGAGGAGAAACTGATCTTGCACCTCACAGCTTTCCTGAAGGCTCACTCAAATGGCAGATGTTGTCTGCTTCCATCTTGAGTCCTGTAGACAATCACAGCTCATGTGGGGTAGATCAGCCCTGGTTGTAGTCTATGGGCTCCCTGTGAGGAATGCCCTGAAAGGATATCCCACATCAGGACTCTGAGAAGCAGTTAGATTCTCTTGGGACATCCAGTTCCTCCTCTCCTCCCAGTTTGAGTTCTTGGCTGAAGGGACTGTACAGTTTACCATCATTTGCCCTTAGATCCAGAGTGCACATGACGAGAGAGCTGGGGAGAAGGCTACAAGAAGGTTGCAAACCAGGCTCCCTTATCCTTGCACAGATGAAGGCTGTATTTCAGAGTCCACAAGTGCTGCTTATGGGCATTGGGGTGGAGAGCTCCAGCAGGGCTTGGCTTGGTCAGCCCTTGCTGGTCTCTGCTATCTTGATTTGGAACCATTCTTCTCCGAGGAAGGTCTCCTGGGACAGCCCTCCTGGGTCTCAAGGAGGGGAGTTACCAGAGCTGTGTGTGTTGTGTGGGTGTGCATGCATGGCGTGGCCTTTTGCAAGGGACCACTGTATGGCAGTTTCCCACAAGCAGAAGGAAAGGGCTGTCTCATCCTGCTGGCTGGCGGCTTCAGAGCGGTCTCTGGACTGTCACATGAAGCGAGGGCCCAGCTCTTCTTCTTGCTGGGCTGCTTTCCAACAAAGACCACCGACTCCCAGCAGTACCGTTTCACGCAGTGGCAGAAACCATTGCCCACACACAGCCTTCCTGGTTGCTGGCCCTGAGCCAAGTACCTGAAAATGCTCTTGAAATGACTGGGGGATTACAGGCCATCTGTTGCTCTCTCTGCTCCCAGAAATCTGCAGGACAAACTTTCTTTGCTGGCTCTTTTCATCCTGTATGGTAGACTAGGGGTATCTCGCTTTTTCGTGAGATGGGCGGCCATATAAATCGGATGGATGGATGGATGGATGGATGGATGGATGGATGGATGGATGGATGGATGGATCTGGTATTTTCTCCCTGTTAGGGACTGTTAATCCAGATGTGAATCTCACGATTTTGGGCTTTAGACAGTGCAGGAAGCCTCTGTTAACAAGAGGAAATTCCTTCCTGCTTGTGCAGCGCGGTTTTGCACTGAGGCAAGCAAGTTTAGACCGAGTTTGTGGGCCTCCACCCAGGCTTCCCTGCCATCTTCCCTTTCCAGGGAGAAGGCCTAGACTCCTGCAATGCAAAGCCTCTCTGTTGCATTCAGAATTTGCAGCAAACTGGGAAAAACACGAAACGTTTTGGAGCAGCAGAGTCCTGCCTCCACTGCAGAAAGATCAGGGTCATTCTGGGGAAGGGAAGGAATAGGGTCCAGAAGTCCTTCCCTCCACGTCTGAGATGCACAAACTGTCTGGTCAAGTGGTAGGCATGAGGTGGGGAGGGGAGGGAGGTAGCAAGAAAAGTCAAAGGGTAACTTAGTTGTCCGAAGTAAACCTTGGTATCCGTGTCCAGTGGTTAGTTCTAGAATTGAAGGCTCTGTTGGATTGCACGCACCGAGCGCTCCCCCCTTGTTCTTCGGGTTCTGGTTTTGACTCCCAGGCCGCACCTGCTGTACTGAAGGAACGGCTCCTTCTCTTTCTCCTCAGCGTGTTCTCCTCCTAACAGTTGGAGGCTGCTCCAAACACCCTCCACCAATAAAACAGCTGCCCCCATTTATCCCCAAAGAGTGTCCCGTAGTGCATCTCGGGGGAATTCAGGAGCTAAGATGGAGGAGGCACGTATTTAGCAACCAACACCCATTGGGGTTCTTCTCCGCTTTGGGATAGGCTGGCTCCATTGCTGCAGGGGGTTCTCTGGCTAGAACTTGTGGCGGCCCCATATTCCCTTACCCATCCCCCGGCCCTCTCCCTCATTTGGAGAGCGCCAAGTGGGAGAACGTCGATGCACCCCGTTTTGTCCCCTTGAAAGTCTGTACAGCCGTCATCTTCCTACGTATCTTCAAGAGGCAGTTAGGAATTCTTTCAAAAAGTCCTACTTTTCTTGCTCGATAAGCACCTTATGACTAAACAAGAGATTCGGTAAGTTCTATCCCATCTTCTCTTTTTAAAAAAATAACAATGATTTCTTTGCGCCTGTGGGAGGCAGAGGATGATTCTGCCCCCAGAAGCTGCAAGGAAATCATTTTTTCTTCATTCTTGTTTGGTGGAGGGGTGGGAGACCCCTTTAGATTTTGCACTGTTCAACTTGCCCCCTCCCCATCAGTTCCACCCCCGTTGGCGCCATTAATTAGATAAAGTGATCAGGGCTGGTTCAGCTTGTCTCTTGCTAGGATATGGCAGATACTCTCTTGAGTGTGCCCCCCCCTTCTATTCCTGAAAGTGTATGCCATGATTGCATGGGAACAAGGGGGTCTTCTGAGAAAAGATGTTTCGAGGAGCTTGGTTGGCTTTTTCACTCTTCCCTTTTTAAGTGCCAGTTTATCAGGGATGTTACCTTTAACCGTTTGTTCTCCAGGAGCAAAACCAGAGACTCAAGGCACGTACTAAAACCCAACTCCTATCCCTAAGGGCAGAAGAAGGATGGCTGAGCTGAGGAGACCCAAGGCCTTCTCCACCAGCCTTCTGTGCCCTTGTGACCAGCTGCCTGTTGGGCGGGTCTGTTTCAGTCAAGCCTTCTTAGCCGTGTCTGAGTCATGCATGCATGAAACAGGTGAGGGCAAGGTGGCATTCAGCCCGCATTGCCATGGAATCGGGAACCCGTGTTTGGTCTGGGAATAACCAAACTACTGGGAAACCCTTGAGGAGATACCAACCATATCACTTCCCTTTTAAACTCACATATAAATTGGGAAGGGGGAACCCTTGTTTTGGCTTATTCCAACTCCTAGCAAGTCAACTCTTGTTTTCTAGCAAACCTCTGTCTTAATTTTCGCTTTCCCAATCTGAACAATGTAGCACAGTCCTTTTCCCATCATGTAGAAGACTGCCTTAAACCAATCTGTTGGGTTGTGGGTTTTTTTTATTATTTTATAATTTACCGTCAGGTTTAAGCATTAATTTATTTTTACAATGTGGTTTTTGGAAGACACGATACGTGTATAATATTTTTTTTAACATTTCCATTGCAGTATTTATCATTGTTACTGGTTGTGTGTAGTGTTAACAGAATTAATATTAAAAGGCATACATATGAAACCTACCTTGCTGTCTCCTTGTGTGAACCTCAACCCCTAGAAGGGAGAGGAAGAGATTCTATTTTCTCGGAGTGGTATAAAAACAAAATAGACATCAACCAGCAAAGGGCGGGGGGAGATTTCTTTTCCTGTTGAGCCTCAAGAGTGAGACTGTGTTGTTCCAGCCTCCTAGGGCACCCAACCTCCTCTTACACTTCTGGGAATAGTCCTTCTAATTCACCCATCACTTTCTCACCTGCCCCGTCCCTCTGCAGTGACTGCAGGTGGACAGAAGATACACAAAACTGATGCTCGGCATGGAATTTGAGCATGCCACAGCTGCCCCTTCCCCACAGAAGGTTCAGAAGCCACAAGAATCACATGCAACCACCTCATTTGGAAGAGTCATAAGAACATAAGTTGTGCCCTGCTGGACTGGAGCCCTGGCCCATCTAGTCCAGCGGCCTGTTCTCACAGTTGCCAGGCAACTGCACAAAGAAGCCCATGAGTCTCCCAGAAGATGGCCTTGATAGGCCATCCCACTGCCACCAGGGCTACAGTGTCCTCTTTTGACTTCTTCACAACAGGATGTAAAGCAGACGAAACGACTCAACAATGGTTGAGGGAACCATTGTGGTGGACTAGCTGTTGAAACCCGACCCTCCTTATTCTGCTCATGGCACAGAGAGTGGAAATGGGCTTCCAGCACTGCATGGATCTACCCCATGGCAAATCCCAGACTTGCTAGCCACGGCAGTCCATCTGCAGCTAGGCTGGCTGAGTAGGTCAGCGAAGGTCAGATCATTCAGATCCAGATGGTTCCTGGTTCTTTCACACACACATCCTGTTCAGGAATCATAGAAGGACTGGCATGACCTTCAAAGTGGCTGTCTGTGTTGTGCCATTGGGCAAAGGCTTTCATGTAGTACTTGGGAGGCCCTTGTGAGTTTTCTGTTGGAAAATCAAAAGTAGGGGAACAGTTTTCAGGCAAGCTTCTCCCAGAGTTGTTTCAAGATGGGCAGCCATACAGATCTTTTAAATGCACATCTTTGGAAATGCCCAAGAACTTTCTGCCATGTTCAGCAGCTCAGCAGGTTCTTGGGTGGAAAGAGAAGCTTCCACACAGGAAGAGCACTGGCTCCTTATTTCAGCAGAGGGAGCATTTTATAGGCTCAAAAATAGATATAAATCCATCCTTGGGTGACCCAGTTTATCTCTGATTACCATTGGTAACTGCTGAAGACTTCTGTTTCACCTGCAGATTTCAGCATTTGCATGATTGCTCCCCCCAAAATTTTGTGCAGAGAGAACCTGCTAAAGGTTTAGTTCTGTTGTGTGCATGCTACCATTAGATGTACAACCATCTGAATCTTAAAGAAATGGAACTGGAATTGGAAGCATCCTTCTTTCCAGGTATGGAGGAGATCCATAGAGGCAGTAAGGCAGCATCAAAGTCAACAGATCTCCCAACCAGCTCCTTCTTTTGCTTCAAAGCCTTTGGCTCTTAGCCCCATGTGGATGGGTTTTCCTACCCCACTTGCCCACTTTTGCAGCCCTGGCCTGCCAACTGTGACATCATACATGATGCCAAGGCTGACTGCTGGGAGGGGCTGTGATCTTCAAGAAAAAGACCAATTTTGCCCCACCGGCATGAGGAGCTCCTTTCCCTTTCACAGCATCCATAAGGGAGGGAGTGGTCCCAGACTCAATGACACTGAGGCTCCAAGCTCTTCTGCTGGTGAAGTGTATTTCACTCATTCTCCCTGCACCGACAATTTCTGAAGAGCTGTCAAGATCCATCCAAGATGTTCCTCTTTGCTGCCAAAACCAAGACACCCATCAGCACCTATGCTGACTCCTACAAGCCTCTGAATACCACGAAGAAGGCCTATGAGGAACCTCCTCTGACCCTTTGGAGCGAAAACAAGTTTGTGACCCAGGTAATTCTAAAGTGCATGAGAAAGGGCTCCCGGGGAGTTCTGGAAGTGGTGATCCCAACTTATCTGGAGGGTGCCAGTTGAGAATGTTGTAATAAGATCCCCTGTCTTGAGATGGAACACAACCTGGCCCAGGAGATGTCCACTGGGTCAGCCCAAGTCCATCAAGCTTAGCAGGTCCAGCCAGACTCTGTGATGCTGGTAACTCTCTCTCCAGGCCAGCAGAAGCTCCTGAATAAGGAGGGCACCACAGATAGTTGTTGGCCCACTAATGTGTTAGATGACAATTCCCAGAATTTCCAACCTGCCAGCTTGCTGGAAATTCTGGAAATCTCAGTCCTGCATACCTGGGTGGCACCAAGTGGACCTGAACTTCAGAGCATCCTCTCCATTGCTCACTCCATGAGTTCAAAAAATGTATTTGGCCTTAGCTTTAAAAAGTTCTTCCTTCCTCTCCTGGAGATATCACTCATGAATTTTCTTGGTCTCCAGCTGGAGGGTTAGGTTTCCTACTATCTGTACACTCTAACGAAATACACAAGGCTAAGAGAATGGCTGGTCCAGCATCAGCCAGCAATTTTTCCGACTAAAACCTGGCCCACCCTCATCTAAGCAAAACTCTGTACTCAGCAAGCTTTTCATACAAACCCTGACCCTCTTTGATCTGGTCCTTAGCACATGAAGTTGCAGAGAAGAAGACAGGTGAGCGTGTGCAGAGGGCTTGTGCATTCTGACGCCAGTAATCACTTCCCTCTTCTGTATATCCAGGGGATTATGAAACCAGAACTGTTGCCTCTTAGCAATAAAGCATGAATGCTTGATGGCTGAGCTCACACATTGTGCCACATTACACTTTAACCATGATTGATGAATAAGCCAAAATTGCATAGTTCACACAAAACCCTAAGCTATAAACCTTGGTTTACAAACCACAGTGTCTGGGCTTATTCAACACGGAAGCTCTGCTGTGGCCCAGCCTTTGTGCCTTCATGCGCTGCACGTTTGGGTGTTGTGCATGGGAAGAGCTGCCCCACACTTGTTTGACTCAGTCAAAGGCAGGTGCGGTGTGTGCTGGCAAAGAGACCTTGCTGGCCCCCTCCTGTCTGCCTTCCAGCAACCACCATGGTGCGGGATTGGCTTGCTTGTAGCTGAGGGTGTTGGGCCATCTTGCCAAACAGCTGCCTGGCCAACAATGGGTTGCAGCCCAACGGCATCTGCACAGCCACTCCTTGCCCTCCTCTGGTTGGTACCATGTGTGATATTTGGTCCTAACCAACTGTGGTTAACTCAGCAATTCACGGTTAAGAAAACATCAGCTTATCTGCGTGAACACAACCACGGTGCAGCCAAACTGGGACTGGACAGTCAGTGCCCAGGTTGACTCAGTTTTCTGCCAGGTCACTTCAGGGCCTGGCTCTGTGGTATTTCAAACCCAAATCTTATGAAAAAGAGACGGGGCTTTGATGGTGTGGAAGCAGCCACTATCTTGACTTTTGGGGCCTCTCCCCACCCTCCTGCAGACCTCCCTGGGAATGCCCCTACATGGGGTTGAGAATTTTGAAAAACAGCCACCTTTTCAGGAGGGAATAGAGAAGATCGTGTGAATTGGCTTCAAAGCAACCACCTCCCTTCCCAAGTCATTCTTGTGAAAACAGTGCCCTCTATTGGCCAGGGTGTGTATCTCAGCCTTCCCCAACACGGCCAACTGGGATGAACTGGGGTTATATAGAGTTGGCACAATTCCCGCCTGAAGCCTGGCCTGTAAGCAAGGTTAGTTTTGGAAAGAGGTGACCCAGATGTATCTCTAGGGCCTGCCTGTTCCTGATAATTCAAAGAAAATTTGAAATTAGAGGATGCAAAAAAATAATTCGAGACAATCTGCACTTTGTGGGATTTGCACATCATCTGCTTGTGACACACACAGCTGATAAAGCTGAGCCCAACCTCTTGCCAAGGACTGAGTGTGCCGGTGCGGAGTGAACAAAGGGGGCCGAGCAGAGGTCAAGCCCCCACGTACTCCCCAGCACCGCAGTTGGGTCTGTTGTCTCTGCTTCAGGGCAGTCTCAAGGAACTGAGCCCTTCCTTCAGATGGAGGTCCTTGGAGACCGAGGGTAGTTTGCTGACGGGGTCCTTTTACCTATAAACTAAACAAGAGACAATATTAATATACTGCGATTACTTTGGGGCTACAAGAAGGTTTCCCAACCTTGGCCACTTTCCACAACCTTGCCAGTGAAATTGACCGTGATCCGTGAAAGGGGTCCCTGCAGAGAGTTCTGGAATACTCCAAGGATGGGTTCACACGATGCACGAAGCCATGGGTAGGGCCAACAAGCTTCATGCCTTCATTGGCCAGACTCCTATTTTTTAAAAATTAGAATAATGCTGGCTAAAGACGGTCTTCTCAGTGACTTAGCATTCAATTTTTCTGAACTTAGGAATTCTCTGTTTATATGACCACACTCATTTTTAACATTAATGACTTCACATTCATTGTTCCTGACAGTCATGCCATGTTTAGACATTACAGATGCTCCCGCTTGTGGTCGCTTATCCGAAAACCAGTAAAACGTTGCTAAGCATCATTCAGCCATCCAGCGTTGCCCGGAAATGTAGCACTAAAATTCAGAAAAAGACATACCAGTCGCTAATCCCCATTTTATCTGTTAAATTAATACAGTTCCTGCAGTCTTCAGGGACTAGTCTTCTGGCATCAGGCAGTGGATTTGCCGTGAGATGGGGAGTCCGTGGGGGAAAGGCATTTCACTGAGGCCCAGGTCACACCGCCCTATTTTTACATGCTGGCATTTCCTCTTCCCACAAATGTTGATCAAAATAAGTATTACAGTAAAATGGCAACTGAGTTTTCGGATAGTAAATTAAAAAGTCCATTGGAGCTGAGCGGCTTATAAATTCAAATACAAATAAATAAATAAATCTCGTCCATACCGAATCATACCACGTAGTCTTTCCATTCCGCTGACAGCGAGCCCATTCAAAGGCTGAAAGTTAGCGTCCATTTTCAGTCCAAGATTCTAAGTACAGAATAGTAATTTCTTTCCCACAAAACAAAATCATCTTTTTACTATCCTTCTAGCTCAGTAAATCCAAATTTGTCATAAACCGATAAGATCCAAGTTACCAGTATATAATTCACCATTATATGATCTTCTTTAACATTTCTCTTCACCACATTATATTAGCAATGGCCTGAATATCATCCCAAAACAGGACAAACCCAAATCAAATGTGTCTAAATCCCCTCAAATATACTGCAGCATTAAAAGGTTGACACACATCACTTCTTAAATATCCACGAGGTGTCCAGTAAACATGAAAAAGTGTCTGTTCATGAATTAGTCTAACCTTAAGATCTTAAGAGGCACAGTTTAATCTTTTCAAAACATGAGACTTCTAGATTCAACTCTTTATTCCAAAAGTTTTTGCAAATCACCAATATCTACCTTAGTAATACTTTTCAGCTGTCTACTGGGGGAAAAGACTTGTAGATTTAGAATCTTGACAAACAGTTTCCAATAAAGCAACTCATTTGAGGATTTCGTAAGCTGCTAATGCATCAGGTCCGACCTGAAAAGTTAAAAAAAAATATATAATTGAATAAATATTGTTATTCGGCAGATTTATGCTGCCCAAATTCTTCTCGCAACACATTAAGTGACTGGAAAAAATCATGAACAATAAACTAGTTAAAGAATTAATACTCTTCCCACCCAGGTTCTCCAAAAAAGAAAAAAAAATACGTGTACCCTTCAAACTGGAATTCTCTCAGAGGGTTAATTTTTTCATATGAACTGGAATCAAATTTTAATGTTTGCCTCCAAATCTTCAAAAAATGTCTAGCAGCCCTTAAACTGGAAAATCAAATAAATCTCAACTAAAGAGGAGCCACACCCTTGCCAAAATATTAAGGCAACCACAGGGGTGGGGGGAATGGGGACTTCCCAGTTGTACCCCTGATGTTTTTTGAAAAACATCACTTGAATTAAAAAAGAAACAGCCATCGAAATAGAGACCCACTATTATAACTGGAAAATCTGGGAAACCCCTTTCTTTGTTCAACATTTTGTTCAACATTTTGCTTAAAACATCTAAGAAGAATGAATATAAAGATCCATATTTGGATATTATACAGTATTCATTTTAATGTTTATTCTTCCCAATACATTCACTCAGTTTCATCCATCTTTTTTATCAACATGAGTTAATTAAACCAGTTTACAATGTTCAAGTTAAAAAATAAGAATGTTTTAGGAGGAATTATTCCATGGAGTTTAAGAGAATTTGTACAAGAAACAAAATCCCATTTCTTAGAAATTTCCTCAAGATCCCCTAGATCCAGTTGGAAGTGTAGCAGACTTATCCCAATTGATTGAATAACCAGATACACCTTACCTTCTTTTTTTTTTTTATACAGGTAGTCCCTGGGTTAAGAACGTCTGATTTAAGGGCGACCCATAGTTAAGAACGGAGCCTATTGTAACAAAATTCGAGTTAAATACACAATGATTCGAGTTAAATCCACAATGGTTCTAGTTCATTACACAATACCATTGTGTAATACAATACCGGCTTACCTACAAATTCAACTTACGGACAGACCTTGGGAACAGAACTCATTCTTAACCTGGGGACTCCCTGTATATATATATTCAGTCCACTGGAGTTGGGCAGCTATAATAAATTTAAATAAATGCATCCTTCTCTCTACATCTGGCAGCAAGACCTTCCAGCCAGCATGGAATCTCTTGGGCCTGGATCTTCCATGCGTTCCCCACCAGCCAGTTCAGGAACGACTTCTTCTTGGGGCCTCTGGCTGTCTAGGGAAGCAGCCCATTGGGGTGGGGCCGGGGGGTACCCAAAGCAAGAAGACAGGTCCCTTGTCCCTCCCCTGAGGCCCCTGCACTTATTCTCTGCTCCCAGTATTATGGCTGCTCTTCGTGACTGTGACATCACAGCTGATGCAGACCCAGGGCTGGGCTGAG